GTCACTGGAGCAGCAGTAGTGGGAGCATCCGTGACTGGAGCAGCAGTAGTGGGAGCATCCGTGACTGGAGCAGCAGTCGTGGGAGCATCGGTGACTGGAGCAGCAGTCGTGGGTCCATCCGTGACTGGAGCAGCAGTCGTGGGAGCATCCGTGACTGGCGCATCAGTGACCACTCCTCCGGCCAAGCACACGGTGAGGCTCTCATCGCACGAGTCCATATCGCGGGCATAGTCATTGCGGGCAGTGTCCACGCAGTCGGTCAGGTCGGTCTCGATGACGCTGTAACTGGCGCTGATGCGGTTAAAGTCCAGGTTGGAGTCACTGTTCAGGGTGAACATGGTCTTGTAGCTGTTGGCGGACTGAAATGAGGGAAGATTAAAAGGGGATTCGTGGGGGTGGGGAGGACGGCGTCCTGCCTGTACGTACAGAGTCGCGGTAGCACTCGAAGAACTTCAATCCATCGACTTGCTCGTCGCAGCTGGTGAGGCTCGAGCACATGGCGTTGGTGCGGTCGAGCAGGCTCTGTCGCTCCGAGGCACTCTGGGCGGTCAGGATGTCCCTGGAGACCTGGGCGGTGTTGATGCAGCCGTTGTACTTCACATTGTAGTTGATAATGACATCCCGCTGGTCATCCAGGTAGTGGTTGAAGCAGTCGTTGACCAGCGAGGAGTCATCGGCGCGTGCATCGAAGGTGGAGATCATGCGGCGCATGGCGAACTGCTGATGGGACAGCATGGAGGCGAGATCCGCTGGCTTCTTGGGCAGCAGAGCGCTGCAGCTGGCGGCCAGCAGGAGGCACATGGCAAAGGCGAGAGCAAACTTCATGTCGGGAGAATATCGCAAGATCCTTTGGCAGTTACGGTAGGCGCGAAGATTATTACTGGAAGCCCCAGGGTTGTGGTTGTGATTTTTATAGCCCCGCGATTAATCAAAGTTGGTGGCCAACCAGAAATAGTGCTCGAGTGAGCCTGATGAAAAGCAAATTAATTTATTATCTTGTACTTGAGATCTCCTCCGCTGAGATTCCATCCGATTTGCTTTTTAATAACGTTTAAATTGTGACTAAACAGCGCCGAAATTATCGATTGTCTCATGGTCACGGGAGTTCCACGCACAGTTCCTGCACTGCGGGAAAGTCCACAGTTCCAAGAATCCCCTCAAATCTCGAATAATGCGTGTATGGCGAACAATCTAATCTGAGCATTACGATAATCCTGGCCCGTGTTTTATTGTTACTTCTTGAAGAAATTAAAATGTGGCGTTTTTCCGAGAATTCCTGCATGGCTTCAACCCATTTTTCCAGTGTTTGACATGCGGTCTGCTTATCTTTAGGCCATTTTTGATTGCCTCGTCTCATAGTGACCAGCCACGATTGCACACGAGTGGCCAAGACTAGAGTGTGCTACTTCATCGTGCACTGGCCAAATAGCATTCCCAATACTCGATTAGTTTTGTCTTTTCTTTATCACCATCACTATCACAAGAGCTGTCCAATGAGTCACCCCCAGGTGGTGGCCTTTGGTTATTATTTCATTTTTAATGGAACCCCAATCCAAAAGGTATAGACGATAACAAAAGAAGCCTAAGAAATTCGGAAACCCCCCCCCCCAAAATACTTCAGACACTCAGTTCTTTTTTTGTTCTTATATTTTGTGGGTTTTTCAATAAATAGTTTTAGATACAAATACTTTGATGCTCTTTTATTGCTGGCTTTTATGCCGAAAGTTTAGAGGGTGCTCCAGGTGCTCCTAGTAGCGCTTCAGCCACTGCTGAATGTTCTTCAGAATCTGTTTCACATCAGCATTGCCCTTGGTCTCGATGCTGGTGAGCAGATGACTCAAATCCTCTTCCGGTGGCGACTCCTTGGTGTCTTCCGCATTCTCGGTTGTAGACGCCTCCGTGGAGGGCGCTGCGGAAGACTCGGTGGACGGAGCGGCGGTAGGCTCGGTGGAGGGAGCTGCGGTGGACTCGGTGGAGGGAGCTGCGGTGGACTCCGTGGACGGAGCGGCGGTAGGCTCGGTGGAGGGAGCTGCGGTGGACTCCGTGGACGGAGCGGCGGTAGGCTCGGTGGAGGGAGCTGCGGTGGACTCCGTGGAAGGCTCAGCGGTGGACTCCGTGGCAGGTGCGGGTGTGGATGCGGTGGTCGGTTCCGGTGTGGGTCCAGTTGTTGGCACATCAGCGCCGGCCATGCAAGCGCCCATTGCCTCGTAGACGGCGGCAGTGTTCTCGGCATATTCGCGCTGCGTCTTGTTGGTGCACTCGTATTGCCACACCTGAATCTGGCGGTAGGTCTCCTTAACCTGGGACACCAGCTCGTTGGAGTTGGCGGAGATGGTGAACATGGACTTGGCATTGTCGGAACCCTGCGAAATGAAGTAAAACAAAACGATGTAATTAGCTCTGTGGTGTTCCGTGGTGGCTGAGGATCGACTTACAGCTGCGGCGGTGCATGCAAAGTAGGACTCGGCGGCTTCAATGCTGCTGCACTCCTTCAGGGCTGAACAGGAACTGGTGCCGGAGTCCTCGATGGCGGTACGGTTGGGCTGTGTGGTATCATTGATGGCATCCACCTTGGTCTGCGCTTCGCTGAGGCACAGCTTGGTGTCCTTATCGAATTTCTCTCCCACCGCATTCATCTGGGGCATGTAGTAGGCGAGGCACTCGAGGGAGTGGGCAGCGTCGGTGCCAACGTCACGGGACTGCATCACGAGACGCATTAAATGCTCCTGCGGCAACACCACGGGCTCCTGAACAAAGGCCTGGCTAAGGCCAACGGCCAGCAGGAGAACACACACTTTGGCGTACATTTTGGGATTTTACTTCGAGTTTCGTTTCTTGGGTATATTCGCTCACTTTGAGCGTTCGATTCGTACTTGGCTGGATGGCACAATCGGCTTCAGTATTTATAGGCAACGCCCCTCAAGTGTTCAATGTCTGAGGAAAATCCCCATTAACCCATTTTGCGACGCTTCGTTTAATTTCTGGTAATTGTGGTTATTTCGTGTTATTGCCCATGTTATTTGCTCGGTGTTTGGCCTATCGCTGCCGGCTATCTCGAAGACTCACCCGGCATTATCATTCTTATCGGTTTATAACTGCCACTCATGCAGACCCCTTCAAAGTTATTTCGATTAAAGCAATTCTCGGCGCTCCTCCAAACCATTATCCCTCTTACGCACATTCGCTTCATAGTTGTGCTTGCACTCGTTAGCGTTCCTCACCTGATCAAATGTCAACACTTCCTGGAATTGGGAATTGTAGGTTCCACAATAAATCCAAGATCGGAGATCTGCACTCCAACACAAGTTTTTGCTGATCCTTGAGGACACACGTGCCCCGTTTATGTTTATTTCTGTCTGGCCATTTTGCGCTTCCCAATATCAATGCCGAGTAAACCTATAAATATCTTCTAGAGCCGCCAGTAGCCTCCATTGGCCATCGATTCACTTGAATAGATAATGCCTGCTAGAGTGGCAAGAAAACACAAACAAGTGATTAGGCTAAGGTCGAAGCCAGTAGTCGGTGGCACTCGGCACTGCTTTTGGTCTCCAACTTGTAGACAAAACAAGAGAAAACAACGCCTGTCTGCTGTCTCCAATGATTTCCGGAGCCCAAAGTGGACAACCAATATGAGAGTTGTATTGTTCGAAGATTTGCATTAGATAAGCGACAGATTAGACACTTGAATGTCTTACATTTAATGAAATTTAAAGGGAATTCTCATTGATTCGGGGAATACAAAAGTTTCCCCATTTTTTGATTGCAGTAATTGTGTTTGCTCAATGAATCCCGAATCCCCACCAATCAATGTCCCCCTTGAGCCTTATCTCATACACTTGTCGGTTGGTTGATGTGTTTTTGTTGGAGGGTCGCTCGGTGGGTCGGTCACTTACAACAATGACATCTAAATACTGAAAAATAAGTGCGCCCCGACAATGACTGACTCACTTATCACAAAATATCGCTCGTTTGGGTTGTTGTTGTTATTGGAAAACACAAACAACAGATGTTCGGACACATATATGACCAGTCAGGCTTTCTGCTGCATACATATGTCCTTCATACATGCTACATACTAATACATACGCTCCTGCTCGTGGCTGCTCTGTCACGGCATGCCTCTGCATAATTATCAAATTCACTGAAAATTGCATCGTGAGACATCAGCAGCAGCAGCAGCAGCAGCAGCAGGAGCAGGAGCAGCAAGGACAAGACACCGACTTCTCATTTGCATATCTTAATTACGTTCTTTGTGTGCGTGCGTCTTGGCTCTGTGAGCTTGTTGCTTGCCGAAGTGCAATGCACACGCAAAAGCGCATGCAATGTGGTGGCAGAGTAAATCTGGTTGCATGAGGCAGACAGCCAAGTTATTGGCTTGATTTTGGCAAAGAGAAATATCTGCCATATGGCAACCTTCCCCTTTCGCTGCCCGTGTGTGAGTGTTTATAACGTTTCTAATTTGTTTTAATTGCAGTGACAACAACGCCACAGGCGGCACCAGGCAACAACAACAACAAACAACAAACAACAACAACAAATGCAATTAAATTTGAATGAAAAGCACCGCAAGGTAAATGCTGCCTTCCACTGTTTACTTAACTGTCACCGGTTTGCCTTAAAGTTATCCTTCTGCTTGCGCACCCTGTACAACAAGGAGCACTCTCGACCCTCTGTCATGGACCGAACTCTGCTTAATTTATATTTACATATCCTATCCTACACGGAAGTACCTCGCATTGCCACGTTGCGCCTGCCAGAGGGTGTCTAAGCCATCAGGAGCCTTCGTAGTCTGACTTTTCTTTCCTACTTTTGCATTTTTTGTTTGTCCTTCTGGGGTGGTTAAGTTTTTCCCCAGCTGATTTACATGTTTTCTTTGCAGCCGCTGGATCTTTGATTAACTTGGACTGACGGCAAATGCAGAAAGTTTTATTTGCAGCGGCATCGGGTTGCCTACACCAGCGGCCAACACCGTTTCCCAGCTACACAAGCACAGACACATAGATCTCGGGTTGCCGTTAATTAAGTAAGTTGTCATAGGCTTTAGTTTCTTGTTTGTGTTCGTCACTGCTTCACAATCGAAGCAGAAACCTGGCCAATAAAAAGTAGCTGCTCTGGCCGTAAATCTCCACATCATTCACAATCGATCGCAACTGTCAGAGATAGCTTAAAGTGGATGGTTTTCAAATGCATTTCTTTCGTTTATTTACAACCTAGACAATATGATGGATAAGTCCGCCGATTTTCGATGCCAATCCATGCTTCTTGCCGGTGCTAGATGGTGGCACACTGTCGCTCCAAGTACTCACAAAAGTATCGTCCGGAGTTGACTCCAGTGTTGTGGCTGTGGTTGGAGCGCCGGTTGTCGGAACTTGGGCTGTAGTTGTTGTCGGAACTTGGGTTGTGCTTGGTTCTGGCACTGGGATAGCACCCGACAGGCAGCTCTGCAGATCGATGTAGCTCTGATCGACCCTGGCCTCGTAGCGACGCGTTGAGCTGTTCGAGCATTCCTGCTCACTGAACGTCACCTGCTGCTGAGCCCGCGTGAGGTCAGCAGAGTACTGCGAAGCGGTGGAGGAAAGGTTGTACGAATTCCTCGAAGCCTCAGAGCCCTGCAAAATGGATTAGAATTAGTTGGAGTCGCTCGCTCACGTGTCCGAGTGCGTGCATACCTGTGCGGAGTAGCAGTTGAGGGAATCGAGAGCGTTCGCTTGGTAAGTGCAGGCCGTAAGAGCCTTGCAGTTGTCGAGCGTTTCGTTGCCTATTCTGTAGACAATATAATTGTACTTCTCAGACAGGTCGGCGTTCTGCTCGCTGGCCTGCTGCTGGCACCGGCCGTACTCGTACTCGTACTGCTTCAGATGTTTGTCGAACTGCTCGCCGTAGTACTGGAAACAGCCAATGGAACGGGTCGGGTTGTCCTTCTGCTGCTGCGAGGTGGAGCTCATCAGCTGCAGCATCCGTGAGTGGCCGTTCATCGTGGACATGGGAGGGGCAGTGGAGCTGCAGCTGGCCGCCAGGCAGGCCAGCAGCACTGCGACAATGAGAATTCCTTGCTGCATGTTGATAGTTTGAGTGTTCGTTCGTAACATGCTCAAAACGGCTGGTGGTCAAGGCTTTTATGCCACCCTAAAAAACGAGAGAATACCGGCTATCTCTGCGCTAGCCTCTTATCTTGACACTGATAAAGCCAATCACAAAACTTAGTGTAGCTTCTGTTTCCGCAATGATTAGGCACAAGTCGGGCTATCAGACATCGACTACAACTACCAGGGGACTTTCTTGGGACTCTAACTTTGGGTCAAAGAATCCCCCAATTAAAAAAGAACCGAACTGAATTATATTTTTAGACAGGGGGGTGGGTTCGCACCCACCAGGCTACCCAGGAAATTGCGGAATTTGCTTCTATTTTTAATTTTGAAGACGCGATTTCCGAGAAACTGTCCAAGTTCTTGCCTGTCTTTCAGTTTATCGCCCAAACAAATGGCAAACAAAGAAAGATGCAACTTCGCGCGGGGGTAATCACTCAATTACACCCGAAAAGGTTTCCAAGGTGCGGAATGTTGCACCACACGGCGTATGATTAATATTACTCACCCAGCCGCGTGCAGCGCTGTCTCTCTGCTGATAGTACTTATCCTGCTCGTAGCAGAGCTGCATACTAAGCAGGCAGTCCATCCTGCTGCTGCTGGCTGCATCTGCCCCAAGGTTCGCGCATCAGCGAGCTGTCTCGGGGTAGCGTCTGGTGTATGGAGCGCGTAGCAGCATCTCCTGATGGATTGTCAGCCATCAGGCCACTTGGGTGGCGCTGTTAAATGGCTCACAAAATAAGTGTAATTGTTTTGTAAATGGCACAGCCAGCAAGCACTTTTCAATGGCTGCTCAATGTCTGTCTGTCACTCACTCACCCGTACACTCGCTCGCCTCCTTGACTTGCTTCGTGAGTGAGTCAACAGCTCGAAGAAAAATCACCTTAGAGAATTTTCTATAATTTCATTTACGAGCCCCACTTATGCGCATTTCAAACTGCCAGCCAAATGAGTTTCTACAAAGATAAAACAGCCACACAACAAAACATTTGCCAAGTGACTAACAATTAACAATTGCCAGCCATAAATATACCTCAAAATATAATTTATATGGCTATAGCTGTGCTTGCCTGATTTGCAAGGAATGTTGGGGCATTATTCGTACAGGAAACGGAAGCATATTTTTAGCCAAAAATAGCCAATATCAGTTGATAAATGGCACTCTTTCTCCTTTAATCTATCACCAATTCACACATCTCCCAAGATTGCCATACGTTGTAATAGGTCAACACCTTTCCAAGCACAGCACGGAGCACGCTTATCACCGGAACAACTATTAAACGTCACTGCATACACACACACCCACAGACTCTACATACATGTGATAACTACCCAACCTTAGCTGATAAGAATGTCCGTTGGCAATTATCAGTTGGTAATTAAAAAACGAAAATTATTACGGCCTGCAGTGGAGAAAACAATTGGGTGAAGGAAAGGAAAGGGCAGGGCAGGGCAGGGCATTAAATGAGTTTTTACGGAAATCTAATGAACGATTCTTGGTACTGCTGCGAGTACTGCGTTATTTGATTATTTTTACAACCACATGGAGTGGCACTTCGTGGCACTGATGTCACTGCCAATTATCAATATTATTATAAACTATGAACAAGGCAATAACAGAGCAGGAATTTACGATTGGTCATAACAAGATGCGAGAGGAGGCTAGAGCTAGAGCAATCAAAGGAGATGGAGGGCGAGTAATATCACGAGGAGTAGGATACATAAAGCTACAGCCAGCCAGCCAGAACAGCCATAAAGGGAGCCGAGTCAGACACGCTGGCATTTTATGGGAAGCGCGTGAAATTCAATTAAAACGCATGCTCATTATTAGTGACAATAATCGAAAGAGAGATAGAGACAGTGCCATGGCCAGGCCATAAAAGCGGCGATATATTGCATAAAATTGAAGGGCAGTGGCAATGGCAATGACAGTGGCAAATGCCACAGTGGACACGCCATGTAAATGCCGGAAAAGGGAATAGTTTTGTGTGATTTATGTGCCGCCAATGTGCTGCACCGCATGCCAGTGGGCGTTTGATTGGAAGTGGCATGTGCGTCACTATCCATAAAGATTACACGCTGATTATGAAACAGGTCTTATCTCCTGCGTGCAGGGTAATTCAAATTCCTGACAAGCTGCTGCCTGGAAATTAATTAAGCTTCCTTTCGGCCACTGTGCCGTCAAGGCTGTGCCTGGCCCCCACAGGCAAATACATTTTAATCGCTTGAATGAAAGTTTGAAACTGCAGCAAATCCTTTATGCACTCTGTGGAGAACAAATGCAAATTTATGGCAAAAACATAAATCAACATAAATAAATGAGCAGAAACCACGAGACGTGACCGCAAAAAATAAAAATAAATGAAGTCCAGTGTTTGGCAAACTTTAAGATGTTGAAACACAAAGGAAATTTTCAATACAAATGGACAGAGCGCAGAAGAGAGAGAGAGAGAGAGAGAGAGAGAGTAGAATCGTGGGGGTGGGGTGGGCAAACTGTCCAAAGTCGAAAAGCCGCAAAAAGCAAGAACATTAAAATGAAGTCAACAATGAACTGAATGGCCAGCTGCAGACGAGAGCGTGGACATGGACGAGGACTCCACTTGGTCTACATACAAAATGAAAGCCTCAAGTGTCCTGAAAACTTGTGCCCGGACCCGAGCTGAGCAATATCAAAGCACCGCCCAGCAGCAATGTTTTTTCTTTATTTTTTTTTTGTTCTTAGCTTGGACAAAAAGAAGACCAACAAATGTAAAGTTTATTAGATCGCAAATGGTGAGTGGGCTGCGGCTGCGGAAATTGAGAAAGAGAGAGTGGGCAGAGAGAGCCAATAACAGAGAAAGGACAGCATTCATATTGGCATCTGCAGAATGCAATAAAAGCTTCGCTTAACCCGCCAGCAAACGCTTTACAAATATGTGAGAAGCGGCAAAGGAAAATTTAAGAGGGGCAACAACGGGGGAGTTGGCTAATACACTTTTGTGGATATTCATTGTACATATATAACATTCAGTTATACAGTCAGCTATGCCCCTTGGCAGTGCACTGATACCCGAGAACCTGTCCTGTGCTAATAACTCAAATTTAAACAAAAGAAACATAAAGCTGGCCATAAATTTATGTGTTTTTCGGCTAACCTGAAAGACAAAGCCTGCAGCGAGCAACAGAGAATATGGAAATTCGGCAAATCAATGGGTAGAAAAGTCCGATTTCTTTTGCAAGTTTGCAGTTGCAATCGAGTTCGAGTCCGAGTCCGAGTTCGAGTCATGTTTTGTCTTGCCCGTGGCACTGCCATAATTCACAATCATTAAACGCATGTATGCTCCTGTGGTAACCGGATTCAGCCAGTATGTTGAATGTCATAATTTAGTGCATGAATACATTTAGATATATATGTGGGGGCAGAATATGATTCAATTGAATTTACGCTCAACTGCGTCAACGTTGAAATTGCTACACGGTTGTTCTTTTTATGGTTGCTCCGATATGCCGAGTAGTTTCGTGTTATGCTCATAAATCAAGCACCAAAATTCAAATGTTATCAATACACTGGGATATTCCCCTTGCACTCTGGGTTAGTCCAGCCAGCCAGCACCCCATCCAACGCACTCGCTCTGTGTGTGCGTGTGGGCCCGAACATTAGAGATAAGCTCTTGCCTCCGCAACCTCTGCTCCTCACCATATATTTATTTCTAGATATATACTCTACCCCAGCAAAACCCTTCGTTCGCTATATAACTATACAGCAGCAACTATACAATGACCGTTGATGTATGTGTAGCTTTTGCCCCTCTAAGCTGACTGCAGTCAGCTACCATATTCCCCCTCCCGCTCTATGTAGCTCTATGTAGAGTATACGTGCCGAGGGGCTGTTGATAAGGGCAACCGTTAGTCGGGTACTTTGCGGGAATAATTACTTTGAGTGTCCCGCCAATGTCAGTCGCTCGCCCATACCCTGGCAACAGGCACAGGACGAGGGTACATGCTGTGCAGAAAGAACATTTAGTTCCATAAACTCTTTGCTTCGAACATTGATTATATTTGAGTGTATCTGTGGGTATCCGCACGTCGCAATTATCACCTCACCTGTTGTGCGGTTGTTAGCACAGGTTAGCGCTGCTGCTGTCCACTTGCTATTGTATATTGTATATAAACAGTTGGCTGCCTACTTTCGGGCACTGCGATTTCTATATAAATAGTCCCTGCCATATAAATGGCACAGCCTGAACCCGTTCGCGCCTCATTCGCTGCAACGAACCTCGAAACACGACGCGTACCCAGCACCCAGCACCCAGCACCAGTTCCGATCGCATCAAAGTGCTCGCTCCTTCCGTGTGCAAGTGTAATTTTGTTTGACAAATGAATCTCAATTCTGCCCTAGAGAATCCCTATTGAGTGCACACAGATATTAACAATCGAAACGAAAGCTTAAGCTATACAGAACGAGACCCCAAACACGCTGAATACATGTGCTCCAAGGCTTTGGTGAGTAGAATATTTCAGAAATGCTCTCTGCACAGACAAGCAATCAAAATTCGGCAAACGAAAATGATGTGACATGCAGGCAACAAATTCCCAGCAAGAGAAAGTCTTTCTCTTTGTTTGGGACATTTTTGGGGATTGGCGGCAGTCCTGAAAGTTGCGCAATTGTACGTGCTGGGTTGTATCATGAGATGCAGCTCCGCTCCACTCGCTCTGGCAATTGAATTAATGGGAGAACCCAAGCGAAATGTTGACCATATGCACAGCTGTGCACATGCTGCCACGCCCCTGCAAAGAGGATGGGAGGGGGGATATGGTTGCCAAATTGGAAATTAACAAAAACCAAGCGCAAAAAGCGCCGGCACCAATGCAGCTGAAAATCTAATAAAAAGTGCAGAAAAGAAAGGCAACGTTTTGGGTAGCAAAGGAATGAGATACCCTGCAACATTCACTGTGTTTGTGGCAAGTATATTTCGTATATAGTGAGACGATAATGGGGGATCAGCGGAGGCCTACAAGTTCGGAGTTTCCATCTCCACTGAAGGGTCAGCTGTTCATCAAACTCAAAAGACATTCCGGGTTAGGGTATAATAAGCAAAATGAATCACTGTGTATGTGTGTGTCCCCCACTCGTAGCGGCCCGTGCTGCTGTGGCATGCTGCAAGCGAATTAGTGTTGCCACTCGACACTTTGTCCAGGCCCCGAAATCTGGGCTGAAAGGATGTCGACCGGCCGTCGGACAACGAGAAACTGACATGCAGCAGCCATCACAGTACCCCAGGGGAGGGGCATGCAACAAGAGGAAAACCCGCTTGCACTTTTCTTTCAAGTGCAGCATGGTGGCAGTGCCACCCCGCACCATTTTTTTGTTTGTTGAGAATGCTTAACGTGTCACTTGCCTGGCATCTCGGCCAGCTGCAAAAATATGCAAATTAGACATCAAAAATGCCTTAATGAAAATTCCGCTTGCGGCACCAGAACAAAAAGACATGCAAAAGGATGCAAAGGATTTCCCTTCAAACTTCACACTTTTTTACGCCCCCCCCCCCCCCCCCAAACTAATGTACATTTCTTGCTCTTCGTGGTCCACTTTTGCATGCCTTGTCCATCCAGAAGTTTTCCATACTGTTTCTATGGCTGAACTGTGTGAGGGATTATCGAAGAAACTGTGACACCGAACTGCTTTAAGTATTCCCTCAATTTCAGACATGAAATGCTATAAAAAAGCCACCTCCGTTGCATCTCTCATAATGCAGTCTTTATCGTAGAATAAACTTTCTGTAGACTGATTCAAAACAATTTAGAGTCGGGGAGTCCAACCGGAAAACACACCTTCAACGCAACACACTCGCTGGCGCTGGTAAATTAAATAAATTTCGCAATTAAAAGTTGCACTCCTTCGAAAACATTTGTCATCGTAAATAAACGTAAATTAAGTTTATTTTGCATTCTTTTTCTACATTTTCCCCCGCTGTCTCTTGCACACTCCACGGCCGTGTCCCTAACATTCCCCACAACCGAACAGCAGACAGTTGTGTTGTGGCTGCGCTTCCGACTACCCACCAAGCGACATCCCTTGTTGTCTTTTTGTACAGTTTTGCATACCCTTACCGGGGGGATTCACAGAGAATAACTAGGGACAAGCGTTTCGTTGCAATAAATATTAATATCAAGAACAAATTCAACTTCGTAGCATCTTCTGTGACATCAGAATCCGACAATCCTCGTACAATAATCCAAATAGTAGGAAATATTTTTAATTGTTTGAGATTACATCGTATTGAGATTTTCCAAGAGTGTTCAAGGGTTCGACTCGCTTCAGCTGTTTGCTATTATATTGTATTTGTTTTTATTTCATTTCGTTTGCTAAATAAGCAGGAAACACTGCTGTTTCAGGCAGGCAAGGGGTATGGGGCATGGGGCATGGGGCATGAGGGAGGCCAAGTGCCGCTTCCACTGAAATAGAAATAGAAACTGAAGCTGGAGCTGGGTAGCTGAAACTGAAACTCTTCATGTTGTTTTAATTACTTTCTGATTTATTTAGCACCGCGACAATGGGACAGAACCGACTCGCATCGCATCGCATCGCAGTAACAGACACAGTCCCGTCCACATTATTGACTCTAATTAGTGGCCCTGTCACCTGATTGCGGGCGGTTGGAGGAGGGGCAGGGGAAGCAGAAAACAAAAACAGGACTCTGGCCCTTGTCTAATGGAACATGAGCGCGCATAAAATGTTTGCAAAATTGCAGTCGGGCAAACAGCCAAATTATATTTACATTATTTAAGTGCCGTGGCAGAAATTTGCATCTAAAATCCAGCCCGTCGGCATAGGCATAGTCATAGGCAGAGATGCAACAAAAGCATCCAACTAGACACACACACACACACACACAGGTTGACCCCAATTCACGCTTGTTTTCACACAGAATTAAATAAGCCTCTCGTTTGCTCAGAAATTTGTTTGTCGTTTCAGGTAATTTGCAAGCCTGACCAGAACATTAGGGGCAGAATTTTCATTATTTGTTATTTGGGGTTCGTGACTGTTGTGGGCTCCTCGGAGTGCAACCAATGTTTTGGTTGGGTGTGGACTTGTGGACTATCCGCTACTTGCATTAGTTTCAGCAGAAAATCATTAATTCTACCCTGGCATACACCACAAAAACATCGAGTAATAATATGCCTCAATGTTTGCTCTGATTCGACACCGGGCACACTGCAGTATTTCCATTTTTGCCTTGTGCGACAGACCGACAGTCAATAAGCCAACAGTTCTGGGCGCTAGTCAGCCTTAAAATGAGTTTTACATTTTCATTTGTGCCTTGCACTCATGTACATGTGTTCCAACTTAAGCTCTCGGATTTATTTGGACTAAAAGAAGATCCGTGTAAAAGAGATTTACTTCCATTCGAACACTGTTCATGCCCGCAAGTAAAATGCATTTAAAAGGGAATTATTGAAAGCATACAAAATAAACAGATGGTTGAAAAGAGTCACCATTTGGGCAACCATTTGAAGTGAACAAATATTATATTCCATTTTAAATACATTTCTGATTTGGCTTAGGGTTTTAGCTTTGCAGATAATCCTATCATCCCGTTCCTTAAATTGCATATAATTAAAAGTATATTCCTTTCGCTGCAAGCTCCATTCTGCTCCATCCTGCTGGCAAGTTAATTTAGACCGCAAATAGTTTTATTTTGCGGTTTCCATGACAATAATGCTAATTAAATGAAACATAGGTGCAGCTGGCCCGGCCCCACGTCTTCCGCTGCCACTTTGTGGCGAGCAGCCATAAAATAATAGGCAGTCGAGTGGGAGAACACAACTTGCCCCCGAAAATATTACATATTGCATGCGTGCTCTAAAATTAATTGGAATGCAAATGAAAATGCAGTTGAGGAAAAAGTGTTGCAATATTTAATTGCGCAGAGCCAACACACACAATCAACGTGAGGCGGCTGGGTACAGGGGGACCTCGCATGGGTGCTGCAATTACACAAACTAATGCCGTTTAATTAAGTTCACACGTGCCACAATTAAATCTTCGGCGCTAATTGATGAACGTGTTTCCACGAGGGTCTACACCCATGCTTATGTACAAAATAAATTCATGTATGTGCCCTATATTTTGATACCCTTTATGCCAGGTGTATGCCAGAATTAGGTTCATTATTCTCGCAGCTACCACTTGACACTTTCCCAATTTTGTGCTCAAAATAGTCCCCCAGCATACCGGATATCTTCCATTCCAAATGTCGATAATCCAAACATTGTTCAAACTTGTGTTTTTGCTTTGTTTTTTTGTGTATTTGAAACGTAAAACACTCTCACGTAGCAGTCAGCAAAACGGCAAACAAATATTCCGTAGAGTGGAGAGTGCCAAAAGGTGTGGACGCGTGCCTGGAGGGGGGGGAAGTTGTTCGTGTTGGGAAATCATAAATAGTTTGCAGCTCCCGTCAGAATGTATCCTTTCCGAATTAGGCTAAACTGGATTTTGCTTACACGCACATTCCCACTTCCCCACTGCCCCACGGCCTGCCTCTCGGTGGGCGTGCCTTCGTTACGGATTGCTACGAAATTCGAAAATTATTTAGCAAATTAACAGGCTGACAAGTCAACTGTGTATGCATTTGGAAGTGGCTGAGGCTGATGTGGGTCCCCGGCTATGTGACCAGATTGCCAAGAGCCAAGAAGCCGGAAAACTTATGGATTGCCGGCACGCAGAGTCCTTTCCAATTGCTTACCTTCGCCCAAATACAAGGACCGACTCAACGACTGGCCATTAAAGTAATTCTCTTACGAGTACTAGTATTGTTTGCCTTGGGTATTTTGGCTAGGGTTCGCCTCTCCTGTTGCACGCGCTGCAGTGTCCAAATATTTTTGTTGAGTCTCAGACCGCAGGACACAAACACAAACACAAACACAAACAGAGACAAACACAGAGCCAGCCAGTTGGCAGCATTTTATTATGTGCATGTGCCAGCTTAATGTCTTGTTAAGGCCAGCTTAGAGGAGAGAGCAAACTCCAAATTGTAGGGGAATTTGTGGGGGAATTGTTTGTGCACATATTGCAGCCGCTTGTTAATAAAGATTGGACTGCATCCGTGGCTGAATGAACTCATTTGCATTCAGTGATTCGGCTGAAAATAACACGCACACGAAGTAATGAGATTTCTCACACATCCTTAATTAAGGCGAACAGCAAGGATGAGGACGAGGACGAGACTGATGCTGAGCCTGCGACGGCAACGGCAAAGGCGACGGCGACGGCGACCAAGTGCCTGAATCCTGGCCAACTGCCTCAAGTGGTTTGCACTTGCTGTAATTTGTTCAGCAGCCAGAAGCTCGTATATCAGACAGCAGCAGCCTCTCCCGCTCTTTCTCTCCTTTTCTCTGGCTTCGACAACTCAGCAAACTGAATGGGCAAGGCGGAAAAATATGTGCTCCTGCAGTGTAGGAGGAGTGCCCGTGCCCCTGCCCGTGCCCGGTGCTCAACCAGG